GACAAATGAAACATTTTAAAAGTTCTGGAAATTACTTTCAGCAATTGCAACTTTTACGCTCTACCTTCTTCACCCTTAACATTGGATAGGCCATCACAGATAATACATTCCTGCCTACTGCCACTGAGCGAATCATTTGGACACCACTTGTTCAACCAAGAAATAATGAGAAACTACATAGATTATGGAGATACACAGCAGTGAAAGCAATGTTAGAAAGCGTTTATGATTAACTCTCATTTGTGTGCAATCTCCCAAAGTTAGTTCTGGCCACACAATGTAGTATTTACAGCTTTTTTTAAGCCAAGGTGTTTGAAAGTTTAATGGTAGTTTGGTGAATATTATTTTAGATCTACTGTGACATAGTACTGCAGCATACATAAATGTTTGTCTCAACATCCTTCAGATAACTGACACAAATGCTGAAATGTATAAGTAATGTATTTCATTCCAGTTAACTGCAACCTTACAAAATGCTTTATAAATATTAGCTGTGGAAAAAAGTTATACTTTTCTAACCAGTTTTTTTGTGTAGAGATCAAAAGCCATGCTCAGTTTGGTGATATTTTACATTTCAGTGAAAACTAATTAACTGGTCAGGCAGTTGCTCATTTACAAGACATTATGTGAATATAAAGGTGGAGAAAACCTGTAAACCCTTAAGAAGAAGACTGGGTTCAGAGTAAGCTTTTAGGTATGCTGAAAAAAGCAACACGATGCAAAGGATCAGACGTGGAGGAGAGAGGACACTGGGCCAGTAAGACAGAGTTTCTCCTGGCTGTGGCGGGAAATGTTGTCGGCCTGGGCAACGTATGGCGGTTTCCTTACCTCTGCTACAAAAATGGAGGAGGTAAGTAGGCTACATAATGCTCTCTCTGTGTTACCCAAAAACTGTAGTACAGCTTTGCACTGTTTTGTACTTTGTGAATTCAGGTGCATTCCTGGTGCCATATCTGGTATTTGTGGTGACCTGTGGCATACCCCTGTTCCTGCTAGAGACCACCATAGGCCAGTACACCCAGGAGGGCGGCATCACTTGCTGGAGGAAGCTATGCCCACTAGCAGAAGGTATACTGTGCAGGACTTAGGAGAGCAAGGCAAAAACTTCCTCTACTGAACAAACCACACAAAGATGATCCAGGAGTAGCAGTGAGTTTCCTTACTGACCTATTTCCTGCTGTGGGAAAGTTTATTTTTTGAGGTAACACAGTTCAGTGCTTCACATGAATGAGCGAAAAGATTGCTGTTCACTGAAAGCGCTACTTCTTCAGTGAACGAATAACTGAATAGATCCGTTTGCAACTTAATAACGTGACTGTGAGTTTTGTTGTGAACATACAACAGAGTATTAGGGCCACATTAAGGAAAAATAAAATGAGAGGAGGAAGTTTTTTCTATTTTGTGTGTAAAGTGAAGGTTCAACTTTATTCTCGAGTAAGTTTAAAAAAATGTTACGTGACAAATGAACTGAGTATGAAAACCAGGACAACCACAAAACGTCAAGTCTGTCATGTGGAAAATGATCCTGATTTAATAAGGTGGGTGTTTTTGCACAGAGGGATAAGAGTAAAAATCCTCTGGCTTAAGAAGAACCTCCTCCTACCCATCCACCCCCAGCCCCAGTCATTGCCATTGGTATACCTTTAGATTTATAAGTTCAGTGGTGAAAAATAACTAAGGCTCTTTGTACATTTACTTAAGTAATTGTGTGCAGCACACGCACTGTGTTTTATGGCACTGGAGGATTTTGATCATTAATGTATTGATTGTCACACTTTGCTCCATGCTCTGACTAGTCAGTTGCAGAGCCAGACAATTTTCAACTGTTGCTAGTGAGTAAACAGTTAAAAGATCATACATGTACCAAAGAAATTAAGCACAGGTAGTACAAAAAAACCAATTCCAGTTGTTTTGCAGTAAAAATCACGTGCACATATGTGACTGCAATGTCCAAAGTTGCGTCAAACAAGACTGATAGTAAAATTAGCCAACTTTATCTCATGGGGAAAAAAATCTGACTCAACATGTAAGCACAGCAGTCATACATCCATCCATCCACCCACAACTGCTGCTGTGCAATGTTTAAAACTTCATCATGATAGAGAGCTACCATGCAGCTACATGCAGCCTGCCAAGTGTTTAACATTACAACAGATGAGCCATAAACATGTGCAGCTAGGAGCAGCTTTTTAAAATAACGATAATAATAATAAAGAATTGGAAGAAATTAAACAAATTTTTTGAGACTGTGAACTTACTTCAAAATTACAAAATGCTAACAATGAATGTGAACTAATTCATTTTAATGTGTGTGAAATGAACTTTGAGAAAGCTCTTGTTAAGTGTGAACTTGCACAACACTGAAACTAATGGTGCCAACACAAACTAAAACACAAATGACGAATGACACATTTTCCCCACCATGACACAGCACTTGAACTGTTGTCAGTACATGGCAAACATTGACAAACATACAACTACATGGCATCTGGGACCATTATTTCAAGCCAAAAAAAATTAATATTTAAACAGGAGAAACTAGAAAATGTTTCAGCTGGGTTACTAAATGTTTATTTTAAAGAATAACTCAACAGAGTTCACACAATAAAAGTCTCTCTACAGGTCAAAGGGAGTAGTGCTGTATAAAGTCTGATAACTGCCTCATGTGTTGTATTTATTGCATTGTATTTGCATTTTGTATTTATCTTTAGGAAAAGTCTGTTAGTAATATAATAATAATCAGCCAGGTTCCAGTGGACCTGAACAAGTGGTGTGGATAATGGATTTTACAGAGAGGAAGTCAGGATTGTGTCTATAACAGAATGAATCAAATCTGGCTCCACAGGTGTGGGCTATGGTGGGCAGGTGATCCTTGTCTACAGCTGTATGACCTATATCATAATTTTGGCCTGGGCTTTGCTGTACCTGGTGTTTTCGTTCAGCTCCCAGCTCCCATGGGCCAATTGCAACAACTACTGGAACACAGGTAAAATGGGAATTGTCATAATAGGGCTGACTTGTGTAACACAGGACAAACTAATATTTGCATGATGTAGGGGAGACTCGGGATGGCTGTAACACCTTTTGTTTGAGCATCACTAATGCACTGCCTGTTTGTGCTAGATCTCTTAAACTTTGAGACATGGTACCAATATTTGTCTACTACAAATTAACTTCTCTTGGATCCAGAGCGGCCGAGCAAACCTGACAAACTCAACTAAGTTCACACAATAAAAGTCTCTCTACAGGTCAAAGGGAGTAGTGCTGTATAAAGTCTGATAACTGCCTCATGTGTTGTATTTATTGCATTGTATTTGCATTTTGTATTTATCTTTAGGAAAAGTCTGTTAGTAATATAATAATAATCAGCCAGGTTCCAGTGGACCTGAACAAGTGGTGTGGATAATGGATTACAGAGAGGAAGTCAGGATTGTGTCTATAACAGAATGAATCAAATCTGGCTCCACAGGTGTGGGCTATGGTGGGCAGGTGATCCTTGTCTACAGCTGTATGACCTATATCATAATTTTGGCCTGGGCTTTGCTGTACCTGGTGTTTTCGTTCAGCTCCCAGCTCCCATGGGCCAATTGCAACAACTACTGGAACACAGGTAAAATGGGAATTGTCATAATAGGGCTGACTTGTGTAACACAGGACAAACTAATATTTGCATGATGTTGAGGAGACTCGGGATGGCTGTAACACCTTTTGTTTGAGCATCACTAATGCACTGCCTGTTTGTGCTAGATCTCTTAAACTTTGAGACATGGTACCAATATTTGTCTACTACAAATTAACTTCTCTTGGATAATGACTACACAATCACAGATTATGTGAGTTAATATCAAATACAAAGAGTTCTGTTGTTACAACCTACCCCACTACTGGGGTGAGTTATAACACCAGCTGGGGATGGATGTTAACAGCAAGACATAATTTGATGAAATAAAATTCACACTGTCCAATTGTGGGTTGAAGTTAGCATGAATGTAAAGCACCAAATTAAACTCGAGAAACTGCTGCTTTAAGTTATACGTCTAATCACTGTATCTACCAAATCATGAATACTATGCAATATTATGCAAAAATAATCGTTTTTTTTAACCTGAAAATCGGTTTTAGTAAAAAAAAAAAAAAAAAAAAAAAAAACAACAAAAACAACTCCAGAGTGTTGCTCACAGAGACGTGTCTCTTTTCCTGTCAGCTCAAAAAGAAAATAGAAATTTATAGTAATAACACTGCAGCCCTTTTCTGACTGGTTAAACTGACCCAGTGTGACAACAGTCCCGGGTCTCTCCTACTAATGTCATTATGCCACATATCAGCACTTAGGTGAATTTCAACAAGGTCAATAAGAATTTCACATTTTGTAATAATCAAGGGAGTTAACTGATTTCCTTGACAATACTCTACTCATTAATCAGATAACTGTATAATTACAATGCACATATGGTGATAACAGGTAATTGATGAGCCATCATGCACAATACAAAGATCCTGAAAGTGATGCAGCTGCCATTATTAATTTTTTGATCACCACTTGTGCTTTACCTACTGTGATATGTCAAAATATCCTCTGTGAAAAGGCCCAAACCACATGTATTAACATTTAAACTTGCCTTTCTCAGACATCTGGCATAAAAACAAAACCTTTTTAAAGAATTTTAAACCACATAGATGCATTAAAAAACATCTCCTCTGCATGCAGCGATGGGACAAAACCACGGCACACCATGACATGCATGCATATAAAATGAACTTGACAGTTCTGATGCATCTCACTGTCACCAATGATATATGAATATTTCTCTTCCTATTACTTCAGATGACTGTGTAGACTTTTCAGCAAGAAATACCACCTCTGAATGGACCAACCAAACAAATTCAACCTCTGCTGCAACAGAATTCTGGGAGTATGTCTGTGGTTAACAACCCAACTTCCTGGCTACTCTTTGTCTTCCAAATAACTTTTTAGTTGACATTTCATTTCATTTTCAGAAGATTACTAATTCTTAATAAAACAGGTACATGTCTATATTTTTCTCTCTAGACGACGAGTGTTGGCTATTTCAGGGGGGATTGAAGAAATAGGCAGCATCAGGTGGGAGGTTCTGTTGTGTCTAATTGCTATGTGGGTCATCTGTTACTTTTGTATCTGGAAAGGGGTCAGATCTACAGGAAAGGTATTTATGTATGCCCTAAACAGTGTTAAAGTGTATACAGTATATTCATACATTTTATACAGCACTGTGCAAAAGTGCACTTTATCTGCCATTTTATTCCCAGGTGGTGTATTTCACGGCTACCTTCCCCTATGTGATGCTGTTAATTCTTCTGATTCGTGGACTCTCTCTTCCTGGTGCTCTGCAAGGAGTGGTGTTTTATCTTCTCCCTGACCTCTCACGTCTCGCAGACCCTCAGGTAGGAGAGTGATGATACACAAGTCAAGTAAAGTCAAGTTTTTTTCTTTTTTCTATACTTACACTATTTGTGGAACTCCTTGTTGTATATTTTCAATAGACCATGAGGAAGGCTTTCTGCTGAAATGCGCTGGTCGTTCATCTCTGCATTAAAGTTGCTTGGAACACTGCAAGTGTTGCCATATTTGATAAACACAAACATTTGTTTCAGTGGATCAAGAATACCAAGTTTTAGCTGTAAATACAACTGAAGGTCATCAACATAACAGTAGAAATACATGCCAAGCTCAGAGGAAGAATGTACAGTGAAAACAAAATCGGCCTCATGATAGATCCCTGCGGGACTCCATAGTGAAAGAGACAGTAGAAGACATCAAAGTGCCTATACTGACAGAATCTGATCTGTCAGCCAAATAAGATTTAAATCACTCAAGTGCTACACCTCTATATTGACACAATGTAAGTAGACAAACTTACTCATTGTTGTTTTCTTGGAACAGGTATGGATGGAGGCTGGGGCTCAGATCTTTTTCTCATACAGTGTGGGTGTGGGCGCCTTAACTGTTCTAGGCAGCTACAACAACTATAACAACAACTGCTATAAGTAAGTATTTCTTTGTACTTGAAGTTTAATTCTGTAGTTTTCAGAGATTGTTAAAGATCTGCCAATGCCTTTTCTTACAGGTGTGCCACAAGGTAATCAGCTAATCAGCATTTTAAAATGATCAGCTATGTGCTATGAGTTCATAGAATATACACTCTTCTCATATTTTGCAGAGACTCTCTGTGGCTGTGTTTGCTGAACAGTGTTACCAGTCTGGTAGCTGGGTTTGCGGTCTTCTCTGTGCTGGGATTCATGGCTCACGAGCAGGGCGTTCCTATTGCAGAAGTGGCTGAATCAGGTAATGCAAGGCACCTGAGATAATCAAGGATCATCACAATCTTCTGTCACATTGGTTTAGCATGATAACATGGTGTGTCTCTACAGAGTAGGCATCCACTGTGATGTGGAGACTAACAGTAACTTCATTTATCCTTTTTGTTACTTTAAATTTTTCACTTCAGAAGGAACTATTGTTCCTTTAACTCCACACTACACTTATTTAGCAGGTGTAGTGTAGTTAAGAGATACCTTACAGACTGAAATCTTACATAAAAAAACTATGATAAGCTTATAAATACAACACACTGTTAAGGCAAAACCAGTGGTTCCCAAACATTTGGCTTGTGAACAACAACAAACACACAACAAAGTGCTGGGGCCCTTTGTCACATTTCAGATGTTTATGAGATGTTAACAGTGCCACCAAAGAGACATTTTCTCTTTAAACATGAACATGGTTTAATTAAAAAGGCCCAGAGAGGTAAAAGTCTCCATTAATTTACAAAAAAAAACAAAGATTAGATAAAAGTCCAAAATATAGCAAAACGTTTTTCACTCTTTCTTATCCCATTAATCACCTCATGACCCCTCAGATTTATTTTGTGATCATTTGGAGGGGCCTAGAACCCTATGTTTGAAGCCACTACTACATAATTGTATTTAAAGTGGTTCAGACTAGCTCCATCTGGAACAGAACAGCAGTAAAAGCTGCTTAAAAAAATGCTGCTATCATATAATAAATATTAATCTGTCTGTTATAGGGGGCATTTTAGTATAGAACAAGTATTACTTTTACTTTGACACTTTAAGTACAATTTTCTTAAAATGCTAATGTGCTTTTACTTGAGTGGGACTTTTAATTATTTATACTAGAGTATTTTTACATTGTTTGAGTTGTAATTTTAAGTAAGGGATCTGAGCATTTCTTCTACCATTGATTGTAGATCTTTGCCTCCATCTTGAGGACAGCCACTGGTATGACTATTCAGCTGTAAGCCAGTGTCTGCAGGTACAATGGGCTGCTGCATTTGTTACATTGCAAGCATTCCCGCTGTGTTATTTGGACATTTGTTCTGAACAATGTGCATGTTACTGCACACCCAGGCATGATGGCTGAATTTTTCAGGCAGTTTTTGGGTGTGATTAGTGGGGCTATGCTGGAAATTTATTACCCCACATTTGGTTTTTCTCTTTTTCATGAAAATAAAGTTGGCCGGTAGACCTTGTTGTATTAAGTGACATAGGTAAAAAAAAAAAAAAACATTATTTTTTACCTTTACCATTAGTCTTAAAGGATTATGCTGGTCATTTTCTATATTAACAGTATTTTTAAAAAGTTCCCATACAGAAACTAAAACCAACAAAGATTTGCCTCTACTCGTGATTAATGCCTGTCACGCCTGGTATTGCTTTTTCATTTGTGTCAACCTCCACCGACTTTCAAAAACAATTACCAGCTCATCAAAGAAACACACTGCTGCACTTAGTGACATATTTCCTTATTGTTGTGTCTTGATGCTTTTCTTTTCTTTTCTTTTCCCTCTCCTCTATCCAATTACCCCAACCGGTCGAGGCAGATTAGGCACTATATAAATAAAACTGAATTGAAAATTGAGTTATGAATCAGCAGACCCTAATACTTGCTGAGAATATCCAGGGACCTTGTGCATAGGCCCCTCGACTCTTGCTTACTTCTGATGCTGTAAAACGTTATGGCCGTTCTGAGCCTTGGGACAACATTTTTAAAAAATTTCAGGATCTGGCATTTTGTAATAAGGAAACACATCAACCAGTGCAGCGGTGTTTTTTCCCTGATGTGTTTTCAATTGTTTTTAAACAACAATGGGGGTCTATGGCAAAGACGAATAAGCTAATCCATCACTGACAGACATAAATCACGACACGAGTAGAGGCAAATTATTGTTGGTTTTAGTCTCTGCATGGGGAGTGTTTAAAATACTGTAAACTGACTGGACTTATCCTTTAAGTGTTCCCATTTTCTCCTCATCTATTGCTGGGACACATTTGTTAAGAGATCTCTTGTGCCACGCAGTGGCTACTTCTACTACTACTGTTTCTCCTATTTAACAGTTGGACCTTCCTAGTAGAAGCTTGCTTTTATCTTTACTTTGCAATGTTTCTGTTGCTAAATTGGCTAATCAATAAAGGTGCTCATTAATTTCCAGGTCCAGGACTGGCATTCATTGCATACCCTCAGGCTGTAGCCATGATGCCTCTGCCTCAACTGTGGTCTGTCTGTTTCTTTGTCATGCTAATTCTCTTGGGTCTGGACACACAAGTAAGATGCACATGAACCCTACTGGAAAAACACATTAACATTTAGAAATAAACTTATTCTGTGTTGCCTATTTTCTGTACAGTTTGTTGCCATGGAGGTGGTGATGACATCCACTATAGATATGTTTTCAACAGTAATGCGCAGGGCAGGGCGACGGGAACTCTTCCTCCTGCTCTACTGCCTCACATGCTTCTTCTCTCAGCTTGTAATGATCACAGAGGTCAGTATTTAGTCTATTCATGTCTTGACTTTATCACTAAGAAAAGATACTTTCAAGTTACAATGGCATATTTCTAATAACAAAGCCTATAAGCTGATGTATTATAGTAATGCAAAAAGGCTCAAATACTGTAGGCTAGGCTTCCATACAACTGAGGTTGACATCTACACTGAAATAACCGTATGTCAAATAAATGTCTTTGCTGTTGTCTTTAGGGAGGGATGTATGTGTTCCAGATTTTTGACTATTATGCTTGTAACGGCGCCTGCATCCTCTTTCTCTGTGTGTTTCAAACCCTGGCAGTGGGATGGATATTTGGTAGGTATGCTGTTTTAATTCATTTGCATTTTGAGCAACTTCCTGGAGTCTCTGGCCAGTACATTAGCTTAAACAAATATAACATGTTAATCAGTGCACCTCATGAGTGCCGGTGGGTGGATTTTATTTTTGTCTGACAGAGCGTCTCCATTTTTCTATTTTTCCTAAGCTAAGAGAAGCTGGTTTCAGGCACATACTACCATATTCTGTATATTGATCCTCCCCTCTAAGAGCTAAAGAATATTTCCCAAAATACCAAATTATTCAGTTAAAGAGGTACTTCTGGGATTCTGTACTGAACTTCCATAAAGTTGGGGGAAAGTAAAAGGCCAGATTAAAAACAAATTAACATTAAATAAAATATATCCAAGCAGCAGTATCTGACAGTCCTTGTTTAGTCCCTATGTGGGTAAAGCGCAAAAAACTTTGGAATAGCATCTTTTTCTCAGATTAATTAAGCTACAGTGGGTACTACCACACTCACTGCAGCGAGTTTACCTGCTGTGCATTTGTCAAAGTTGGAAAACAAAGTTAAAAGCTGACATAACAGAGTTAGAGCACTTTCTTGTTGCTGAAACGCACCACGTTAATACTGTTTATCCAATCTCATTTCCTATCAAGGGGCAGAGCGGTTGTTTGGCATCATAAAAGACATGACAGGTGTACAGGCCAACCCGTTCTTCAAAATCTGCTGGCGCTACCTCACACCACTGGTTTCACTGGTGAGTCAGCCCCCGATTCTCGTTCATCTGAATATGCGCACTTAAATTGTAACCTTTTGATTTTTATTCTCCATTAATTCTTTATGCTGAAGTAACCAGACAATTTCTGTGTGCAACATCTACAAAAATAACTACTGAATCTCTCTTTTTCTTGTTTTCCAAGGGCTCTTTCATATGTTCTTTAGTTAAGTACCAGCCTCTGACCTTCAATCGCTGGTACGTGTACCCTGCCTGGGCATACACATTTGGTTGGATACTAGCCCTGTCCTCCATCCTGCTTGTGCCAGGATGGGCGCTGTATAAGCTGGGAACCGGAACTGGGACCCTGAGTCAGGTGGGACAACTGTACGATTTGTTATGATAGTTCATTCTAAAAAAGGCATGGTTTTATATGTTATATAATCAAAACATAATACATTTTATTTTTAGCAAATATTTTACAAGTTTCATTTTAAAATAGAAATTATACAGCAAGGGACATGAATCACTTTGTCACCTGCTATTAAAGACCTTGCGAAATGGAAATTAAAGTTCAACTCATATTTCATTATTTATTTTCTCTTAAAATCCATGTGCAAAACATTAACTAATACATAAAACTCAAGTATGTGCAAAAAAGAAAAACTTGGCACAGTGACTCAAGCTTCCTGTGAAATGTCAGAAAAGTCTCACAGCCTTTGTGTTCTTGATTTTAGGATTGTTATTATCATGATAGAGAAGGAGAACCTTTAAAAGTTTGAAATTGAATTGAAATTAAGTTTATAAATCATAAAAAGTCTCCATCTCACCCAAAGTATAGTGTTAATGTTGGCCCAAACTACATTCTCTGTAGTTTGGGCCAACATGCTGTATTATTGATTGTGATTATTGCGCTAATGCTGTTTCAACACTGCAGCAATGCAACAAACACAATATGCAATCACCTCAAAACAATATGATCAACAATATGAAAGATCTTGTTCCAGGTCAGTGGAAAAATAAGAGCTGTTGTTAAAAATTAATGGTGAATATATCTCAATTTCTTAGCGGTTCCATGACCTATGTCGGCCCAGTCCTGACTGCTGTCCAGCGAAGGAATCTGAGCTGCAGCACATTGGAGGGGAAGATCTGCAACAATTCACTACCAGTTCATATGAAAGGTGAATTGATCCTGAACTCTTGGCAAATGCACTCATGTGTCCAGCCACTAACATACAGCAATCACTGGGCCAGATACTGAGTGTTGTATTACTTTCTTTATGCTAGAATCCACAGGTCTTAGATGACAAAGACTGGTCTCATTTATTTTAGCTGCATTGTTGATACTGAATGTGTGAAATGTGTATTATCACTGCAAGTATTGTGGAAATGGATATGAAACAACCAACTGTCAAAACACATTTTTAAATGGACATTTTTGCATAAAAATGACTGTCACATCATAATCGCCATCTGATGTGTATTTTGATGTAAACTTAACTTTTAAAAAAGGTACAATGTACACTAAAACAAATTTAATTCAGATGATTCTAAAATAAATACTGTTACCTGTGCAAACTCTTGCTGAAATGTTAGAACATTCTAGATTTGCAGTACACAGTGAAAATACACTGGATGAGTATACTTATTATAGAGCTTAATGTAATTTTGCTGCCATAACAAAATTAGTCCTTTATTGCATTTCAAAAGGAAAAAGACACTGAGCACAGGGAATTTCCTCTGTCAACATGAAGCTAAATGAATAAACTGAGAAGGACCTGAGTAACCTCAGTCAGAGAGGTGACCAAGAACCCAACAGTCACTCTGACAGAGCTAAGCTTGAAGAGACTTCAAAACTGAAAATGTTTTCATTTGGTCATGAGTACTGAGTGCAGATCAGTGGGTAATAATGGCAACACAGAGTGCCAAAGTGGAGTCTGGATACTTTCTGAAGCCACTGTATGTATGTATGTACTTCTCACATGAGTATCACAATCTTAGTGACTCTTCAATTTCTATGGCGGCAGCTCGATTGATATAAGGTTATGCAAGGTTATTGTTACAAAAATACAACCATAAATTGAGGCTCTTATGATAAACGGGAAAAGTCTATTTTTTAATGTATCTTTTTATTTAAATACCTTAAAATTATGAAAAATACATTGTACAACGCACCTTAAAATTCATAAATCTGAACATTGCTGGCGGTGCTGTCATATGCACAAAGAAATGGAAGGGGAAAAAAAAAAATCATACACATACTGTATACCACCACATCAACATACTTGTATACTCTTATAATGCAAACTGTGCTCCAGCTATGACCAAAACATGTGGTCACAGAACAATCGGTTTTCTTCTAGCAAAAGAACAGAATTTCATCAAGGTGAAAATGGACAACAAAGCTGCTGCATGAGAGAATAACTGATGATCCTGAAGGTGTTGTGATGAATTCATACAGTCTGTGGTTGAACTGCTTTTATCACAAGATGTGTGGTGCATTTCCAAAATGATTAAGAATAAAGTATGATGATCCATGTTGATGGAGGTGCCCTGCTTATGCAAAAATGATCAAGTGAGAGGAGAGTTTTTAAGGCTTTGCTGACAAGTGTATGGGCAGACATCCTGCAGTCCAGTGTAGTGTAGTCTCTGGTGTTACAGACCAGCCTAGAGTGCTACTGGTTTTTTTTAAAGCAGCATTCTAGGAATCTTTATGGAAGTCAGCAGTGTTGTTTTGAAGGCAACAATGCTCAGCATGCATCTGAGATTAGTTTTTCCATCTTTTCCCTGAATTAAGTTGGTCTGATGTGGCAGTGAAACGACCAACTGAACTGATTTATAGTGCTGTTCTTGTCAGTGTCTTAAGTGTCTCCTGGGGAAACATTGTTTCCACTTAATCCTTTAAGCACCTGCAGTGGTAATGCAAGTAAGATGTACCTTGGGACTGAATTGCACTTGAATGCATTAATTAGCTATGAGCTCTCAGAAGTCAAACACTATTTCTACTGAAGTACATTCAGTAACTCAAAACTGACAGGTGTACAGTAAGTACCAAACTTGAGTACTCATTGGATTTCCATTGAGCTACAGAGACAATTTGTGAGACCCATATAAAACCAGGTTTAAATAACCATGGATAAACCTTTAAAACCACACTTAATATCCAAACATAGCAACCAAACTCACAGCTCCACTGTCTGGCCCTGAGTATGCACACTTTTTTTTTAAGTTAAAGGCACTACAGGCTGTGCTAACCAGTAGAACTGTCAGGAGGTATAAAGGTAACTTTCTCTGAGGATTTATCACCAGCTTTGAGCTCCCTGCTTTGTTCCGAGTGAGGCTGCTGCTGTACAGGACAGGTGGAGAGAGGCTGAGACTGCGGAACATCTGACTTCTCAGCAGCTTGTGGCCTCCTCGTATCATCTATAGAAATACTCTCTGGTTGTCTGGCAGAATCTAGATGAGTTGGGATTTGCAAGTTCTGAAATTCTTTGAGGCTGGGGTAGCTGCCAGACTCAGCCATGGTACGGTGTAGATGTTCCCAGGCTGTGATACCATTAAGGCTGCAGCTGGGGTTGCTGGTAGCCTGGCACAGTAGTTCCGTGTGCTGCCGTAGCTGGGCAATATCCTGCTCTGTCGCACTGTTCTGGCGCATTATCTCCTTTGTGCGCTGGGTAATGTCCAGCAGACCTGATCGTCTGAGGATTTCTACCGTGTTGAGGAAACGACGGTGGCGGGTACTGGTGGTGCCGTTTCTGTGAAGATGTCTGGCTGCGAGGAAGAAGGAGGGAGTATGCAGGCTGGATACAGATGAGGAGCCCTGTCTTGAGGAAGAAGTATTGGAAGTTGGGGAGGGTAGACAGTGTCTGGTTGAAGAGGAAAATGGCTGGACAGAGGCTGGAATTGCTTTGGGTTGCTTATGTAGGTGCTGCTCAGGCAGACTCCTGGCTACAGGTGTGTCATCAATCTTGTGCTCTGTGCACACCCTCTTACTCAGATTCTGGGATGCATCATTCACTGAAGATTTATCAGGTGGCTTCTTGCTGGGCTGTGGTGCAATGTGGGGATAGGAGCTGACAGTGGGTAGGTACATGCCATTTATTTTCCTCCCTGTGATGTAGGAATTCCAGGACAAGGGCTTGTGGAGCTGCATGGTGGCTGGCAAAAGCCTAGGCTGCTGCAAATGAATCATATGGTGGGCGCCATCACGGCTGGTCTCCCTGCTTCCATTTCTCCAGAGCAGTTGAGCTTTTTTCTGGATCATGTTCGGCTGGTGTGGCAGGAAGGAAGAAGAAAGCAAGTAGAGGATACAGAGAAAACAAGGATCCAAAAGGAAATATTGCAAGCAGGGGTTTGAGTAAATGTATATTATAAAGAAAAAATATATACATATACAGTGGTCCCTCGTTAATCGCGGGAGTTACGTTCTAAAAATAACCCACAATAGGCGAAATCCGCGAAGTAGTCAGCTTTATTTTTTACAATTATTATAGATGTTTTAAGGCTGTAAAACCCCTCACTACACACTTTATACCCTTTTCTCAGACAGGCATGAACATTTTCACACTTTTCTCTCTTGTTTAAATAAATAAAAATACTGTATAAACATTTTCCTATAAATAATAATGATGGATTTTAGAACTAACGAATTTAATTTCTGTACTGTACAGGAGACACGGCATGCACAAGCCAGCACCACTGTGGCACAAAAAAAAATCCGCGAAACTGCGAGGCTGCAAAAGGTGAACCACGTTATAGTGAGGGACCACTGTATACACAACCTCAAAAAGCTAGATTTAATCACTGTTCCTTCTTTGACCCTGGCAGATATAAAACAACTAGAAGAAATGCTCCTTTTTAGTATCAGAATTACATTTGATTTGATTTATTTATTCTTTCAAGCATGTAAAGACAGTTGATATATCAACACACATAATTTTACACATATCCAACAAATGCTAATCCA